ACACCGTTCAAACTGCAGAGGTTATAAAGATAAAGGTATCACTGAAACATATATGCATGCATATACGCTTTACGAAATGTTCACTATGGTTTGTGCTCCCGTGAATCTAGGGATATCGTATTTTCATCTTGCTCATAGCCAATCGCGTGTATTTCTTCACGTGAAATGAATGTGCAAAAGTGAGAAAAATCGACACAAATAGACAATCGATCCCCTGCATTCTAGATTGTGTTCAAAAATGTATACAACCAGGGTGAAGCGCTCGATTGACCAATCAGGACAAAGAGATCCTCGGGCTCCGATTGGTCGATCAAATATCGCACTTTGATCAACGACCAATCGGAGATCAAGAATCTCTTTGTCCTGATTGGTCAATCGAGCGCTTCGCTCTAAATGAATATATTTTCAAATCCAATCTAGAACTTTCGTATTGTTCACGATAAACGTTTGCGCGCTTATCAGCGCAAATATGCCGGTAAAAGAAAGAAATAGATCTATTTTCTTTGGTACAAGTGAGTGTATTAATTAGTGTCATTACGGCGATAATTATCGTATAAAGATCGCGTCGCATATACCAACATCATACGATTGTGATCACGCGCGAGATTGCGAGATTGTCGGCCGCGAATATTTTACAGCGCGATTAAAATTTTTTTTTTTTATTATAGAAAGACGATAAGAGAAAGACATTTCATAACATTAGAAATGTTTAGGGAAAGTTTTTATATTTATCCTATAAAAATTACAATATTATATAATATATATATTATACATTTACATAATAAAATATATAGAATATATATATATATATATATATATATATATATATATATCATATAAATATAATTAAGCTTGCATAAGATCGTCTAATTATTGTCTTCTATATATTACTTATTATAATAACCTTTTATATGAACTTTTTCAAGATATATAAAAATGAAATTTATCTTACAAAATTGGATTGCTTGCAAAATTTATGTTGTCTTTCAATTATTATATTTTTTATAAATCAAAGATATATGATCTATAAAATAGCAGGTTTTTAATACGCGCATGCGTTATATAGTTGCTTTCGGGTGCGTTCCGTTATGCACTGCAAGTACTGGCACTATGACGTCATGCAAGTGTACTGTTGGGTGCGTTCCGTTATGCACTGCAAGTACTGGCACTATGACGTCATGCAAGTGTACTGTTGACAGCGTTCCTTTTTAATTTTGTGCACTTTGAAGCTACTGCAAAATAGTAAAACGGAACGCACTACAGTACGCTTTCAGCAGACCCTTAACTAACCTTTTTCGCTAATAATCATCGAGTGAAAAATTGGTGAAATGGATAATACCATTATTGCATTAATTACATATAATTTAATCGAGAATATATATGATTCGAGTGAGTCATCAAGTGAAAGCGATTTGGAAATGGAATTAATAAATGAAATGAGACGACAAATTAAAATACCTAGAATAAAATGTAAAAATTACGTCAAAAATATTGTATCATTATATTCAGATATGGAATTTAAAAGTTAGTTCCATCGTACACATGGAGGTAGCCATCTTGATTACTGCGAGTGCTTTACCTCGCCGGTTGCAGTAATCGCAACAGGAAATAACGTCACAATTAATGACGTCATATACTCATGATAGTACTTTCGCAGTGCACTGCTATCTATATCGGAACGCTATTGGTAGTACCAGAGAGAAAGATGAGAGCGGCCAGGCCGGCGTTTTGGCTGTTACCGTTTTTACGGGACTGCTTGAAGCGCCCCTCGCACCCGTTTTTAATATCGGAACTAACTGCACACCCATTTTCTGGCAGGGTCGATAAAGTTTGTATTTGGTGCGAGTCCGTGCTACGCCCATAATTTTCGTGTTAACACAGTATCACGTATTCATTCTGTATATGTGCGATCTTTTCTCTTTATTTATATATATATATATATATATATATGTATTTATATAATTTGTATAAAAACTAAAATATAATTATTAAAATATATATATATATGTATATGTGTAATGAAATATATAAATCTTATTTTAATTAAAATAAAAAGAACGATTAATTGTTCGACCACCTGGATTTTGGAATGTAATTTTTAATATATATTATATTATATTTAATATTTATCGCCGCTTCTATTAATATGAAGTGCAATGTCAACGTGCAATAATGTACAATTATTTAAAGTTTCCATGCCTAATGTATCATGCCGGTATAAAAGAACGTCAAGTAGCATGCGTAGCCGAGCAACTAAGATGACGAGCTGAAATCGTGGACATTTCAAGTTCAAACCCCTGCCTTTTTCAGATTTTTTTTTCACTTTTTTCAAATAAGTTATTATGTGTATAAATGTGTAATAATCAATATATCATTATTTGATAATTTTTTTTGTAATGGAACAAAATAAATTATTTTTTAATTCTGCAAGGAATTTAATTATTAATGCAAACGCCCACACACATAATTTAGATATTCAATTTTTTTTAGTTCAAATGTTTCTTGCAATCTGTATACGACAATCAGTCCACTCGCTGTGCCACAGATTGCATCGCATAATACGCTCAGAGTTATAATACGATAGAGATCGCTTTACGCTGTTTTTCCTTGAAATAAATAAATTTTACGTGTTGTGTACGCGTGTTTAGTATATTTGTTTCTTTCATATTAATTTTAACTATAATTAGTTTTTTAATTAAGATTATTTTAGTGTTAGTTGTTTATTTGTTAGTGTCCTGTTTTCTTTAATTTCGCATTTTTTAATTTTCTTTTTTTTGGTGTTGGTGCTAATTATTATTTTTATTTTACAATGTCGAGTAAACACCGGTTTTACGATAAATGTGTGTATTTAAATTGCACAAATATTAGGACAAAAGATGGAAAACGTTTATTTCGATTTCCATTACAAACGGGTGCGAGACATGATTTATGGTTACGCAATAGTGGTGAGTTTATAAAATTGATTTACTTATTTATATCAATATATAATATATATTGATATGATATATGAAACAAATATATATATATATTCTTTGTTTTTTTAATAAAATATGTCAGATATTATGTATGTTTACGTATGGATTACGTTGAAGTGTTTCTTTGCCGCGTTTTTCTGATCTCGCCGAACGGTTCGCGAATCCTGTGCGAATAAAAAACGATGCGCGTGTGTGTGTGCGTGCGATTGTGATGATCAGTTTCAGTTCGTCTTCAACGCTTGACGAGAGAAGAGGTCCCGAACTGCTGTAAGTTTATAAAAACATATTTTTGTATAACACATTAGAACGATTTTATATTATTTTTGAAGCGTTGAAGACGAACTGAAACTGATCATCACAATCGCACGCACACACACACGCGCATCGTTTTTTATTCGCACAGGATTCGCGAACCGTTCGGCGAGATCAGAAAAACGCGGCAAAGAAACACTTCAACGTAATCCATACGTAAACATACATAATATCTGACATATTTTATTAAAAAAAACAAAGAATATATATATATATTTGTTTCATATATCATATCAATATATATTATATATTGATATAAATAAGTAAATCAATTTTATAAACTCACCACTATTGCGTAACCATAAATCATGTCTCGCACCCGTTTGTAATGGAAATCGAAATAAACGTTTTCCATCTTTTGTCCTAATATTTGTGCAATTTAAATACACACATTTATCGTAAAACCGGTGTTTACTCGACATTGTAAAATAAAAATAATAATTAGCACCAACACCAAAAAAAAAAGAAAATTAAAAAATGCGAAATTAAAGAAAACAGGACACTAACAAATAAACAACTAACACTAAAATAATCTTAATTAAAAAACTAATTATAGTTAAAATTAATATGAAAGAAACAAATATACTAAACACGCGTACACAACACGTAAAATTTATTTATTTCAAGGAAAAACAGCGTAAAGCGATCTCTATCGTATTATAACTCTGAGCGTATTATGCGATGCAATCTGTGGCACAGCGAGTGGACTGATTGTCGTATACAGATTGCAAGAAACATTTGAACTAAAAAAATTGAATATCTAAATTATGTGTGTGGGCGTTTGCATTAATAATTAAATTCCTTGCAGAATTAAAAAATAATTTATTTTGTTCCATTACAAAAAAAATTATCAAATAATGATATATTGATTATTACACATTTATACACATAATAACTTATTTGAAAAAAGTGAAAAAAAAATCTGAAAAAGGCAGGGGTTTGAACTTGAAATGTCCACGATTTCAGCTCGTCATCTTAGTTGCTCGGCTACGCATGCTACTTGACGTTCTTTTATACCGGCATGATACATTAGGCATGGAAACTTTAAATAATTGTACATTATTGCACGTTGACATTGCACTTCATATTAATAGAAGCGGCGATAAATATTAAATATAATATAATATATATTAAAAATTACATTCCAAAATCCAGGTGGTCGAACAATTAATCGTTCTTTTTATTTTAATTAAAATAAGATTTATATATTTCATTACACATATACATATATATATATATATTTAATAATTATATTTTAGTTTTTATACAAATTATATAAATACATATATATATATATATATATATATATATAAATAAAGAGAAAAGATCGCACATATACAGAATGAATACGTGATACTGTGTTAACACGAAAATTATGGGCGTAGCACGGACTCGCACCAAATACAAACTTTATCGACCCTGCCAGAAAATGGGTGTGCAGTTAGTTCCGATATTAAAAACGGGTGCGAGGGGCGCTTCAAGCAGTCCCGTAAAAACGGTAACAGCCAAAACGCCGGCCTGGCCGCTCTCATCTTTCTCTCTGGTAGTACTGTCAGTACTTGCAGTGCATAACGGAACGCACCCATACTCATGATAGTACTTTCGCAGTGCACTGCTATCTATATCGGAACGCTATTGGTAGTACTGTCAGTACTTGCAGTGCATAACGGAACGCACCCTATATCGGAACGCTATTGGTAGTACTGTCAGTACTTGCAGTGCATAACGGAACGCACCCGGAACGCACCCTTCGTATGACATGTAACAGCTGGTTTGTCGCGAAAAGAGGTTAATGAAAGTCGCCGTATAGAGACATAAGAGAGAGTCACGATAGAAACTGAAATTTTAAATTGTAAATTACATCCGCAGATCGAAATATTGATGCTATCACTGCGTTTGTCATATCCGCAGTGTGTTATTCATGTTGTAATAGTTTCGCGACGTGTTTTTACAAAAGTCGTGTAGCTTGTCATTTAACAGGTGCGATCAGCTGTGATTCTTTGTATTATAGTATTTTATAATATTCGGGTTTCTTAAATTATAATAAGATATGAAAAAATGCTATTAGCTGGAAAATCTAATGCCAATAAATTTATTTATTTTTTAATTTTACAATAATTCTATTTATTTCTTTTCTCTCCCTTGTAAGTGCCACATGAATACATGATAAAATTAATAAAAGTATATAATTTTAATAACTTCAAACATATATATAAGAAAATATACGCCCTGATATTTTAAAAATCATTTATAAAAGTTTTCTTTTTTATTTTTATTTAATATACTGAAAGAAATAAGTTTTATCAATATATAATATATACAGATATCAATCATTTTTAATAGCTATAATTTGTTTGAATATATTTATATTCTTTACAATAGCATCAATGTCTGGTCTAATGTATAATAAACTTATACAAAATTTATATAATTTTCAGACAAGTCTACATGCTTAGCAGGATATATAGTATTCATTCCAAATCATCGCATACTATTTTATTAAATAGAGAGATGGTATATATAAATTATAAAATACATTATTTATTACATGAAAAGATCAAAGAAAGATTTCTGATCTGAGACACGGAGTCTTACTATTTTTAATGAAAGAAGTTTATAAAAATATGATAGTTATCTTGCGCTGCCAAACACAATGTTTAAATTGGAATCTTATATAACACCAGTAATTCTCAGTTATGTAGAAAAATATGTAAAAAATTTAAAACCAGAACAATCACAGGTAAGCAAATATGAGTTTTCTACATGTCTATTTATTTGATAAAATATTTTGTATGAAATGTTTTTAAATTTTTGTCATAAAGTGACATTTTGTTCCAAAATATTGATTAAATTAATGATATTTAGAACAAATTTGATAATACTTTTTTAAATAAAATATACAATTCTTAAAAAAAAATATTTTTTTTTAGGTATCCTTGTGGGGTGGAGATGCATCATTTCAAAATCTAGATCTACGATTAGAGGTATTGGAAGAGCAACTTAATCTTCCATTCGTCTTTGTTAGTGGCCACATACATGAATTGTTGATACATGTTCCTTGGGTAAAAATTACCTCTGAACCAATAGTTGTTACTATTAATACTATAGGTAAGATAACAAAAAATTCTGTTTAATATGTTAAAAATATATTTTGAAATGAAACAATCAAACAATGACTTTTTTTTTTTATAGAGTGCATTTTAAAATTGAAAGATGAGAATATCACAGAAGCTAATACAACGACACTACAAAAGAAAAGGAGATGGTGCAGTAAGTATTACTTTTTATAATTTGATATAATCATAAAATTTTATTAGCTTAGTATACATTTGATTGCTTAGCATCTGAAAATGGTAAAATATATGTATATAAATAAAGAGACTTTGAACTTTTCATTATAGAGAGGAAGCTCCACCTGGGTACATAAAAAGTATAATCACAAAAGTTATTAATAATATTACTATTCACTGCAATAATCTTATCTTGAAGTATGTAGAAGAGGATATTGTGCTTAGCGTAAATGTCAAATTATTAAGTATGCAAACTGTCGATAATAAGTGGGAGCCAGCATTTACCGGTGGGTATTTTTATGCATAATTAAAGGACAAGAATTGTTTTTTGTTTTATTAATATAAATTATGTATTATATGAATTACAATATTTATAAACATTAATATATATATGAAATATTCATGTTTACAGACGTCAACACTCAGGAAGTGATGCTTAGGAAAGTTATCACTATCCAGGATTTGACATTGTGTTTAGATAAAATGGATGCATCGGGGAAGATAGAAATTTATCAGGTATTTTATTTTTTGATATATTTTGTACATATATCTTTTTTTTAAATATGTAGAAAATATAAAACAAAGAAAAGCTAATTTAAATCATAATTTAACATTTTGTTTAGGATCCCGTTTTATATCGATGCTCAATGACAATCCGCATGATTATAAACTATCACAGTAACACTTCAAAGAGAGCATCCATCACGAGACTTGATCTTCATTGTGAAAAAATGGAGTTTAGTATGACCGAACAACAAGTCCCGATGCTCCTCAGATTAGCGGCCTTGATAATGGTATTACAAACGAAACAATTTTCAGTAAGCAAGGAAAAATCTTCTATTTCTGTGGATGAAAGAGAAGATATTATACAAGGTTTAATATCACATTTAGATGATGTTTCAAATATCTTTTTATATTTTATATATATGTATATAATATTAATAATTTTCAGATGATACAAGTCAAGTAGTCGGAACTTCAACCGATGTTGTTGGATGGGGTGGATGGGCTTGGGACATAGTATCTTCTGTTTTGCCTGTTGACTGGGATAATAATTGGTCTACTGAACAACAAATAGCATATTCTGGTCATACTATACACCTAGGTGTTTATATAGATGATGCTACTTTAACATTTAAGGTATAATCAACACAATATAAATTTATTTTCAAAGAAAATATTTTTGTTACATACAATTTGAAAATAAATTATTATATATCTTATTTTTGCAGACTGTCGAAAGCGTCAAAGAGCAATTATTTTACAAATCTCGGAAACTTAGATATAAATCCTTCTTATCACTTCGATTAAATGGAGTTGTGATGGATACATTAATTCAAGGAATCACAATGACAACCTTTCAAGTAGGAGTGGCATGCATTCAGCTTTATCCACGAGGAATATGCAGTTGCGGGCATGTAGAAGTCGTTGATGGTATACAGGTAAAACAATTAATTATTTTAATCAGATATAAAATTAGATAGAATGTCTGAGAGGTAAATTATTATTATAGCCGCCTCTTTACGTAACAGCTGGGAACTTGAATATTGATTATCTAAAAGATTCGTTGTTTGACAAAGAAGCCATAGAAAATAAGGGGAAGAAGAGAGATTACAAGCAAGGAATAGATTATCACTTGACGATAGCTTCGGGTAATATTATCTATTAAAGGTATACATATAATATTTTACAAATAATTGATAATTTTTTTCAGTCGAAAAATTATTAGAAAGATGTCCAGCATTCGTGATGGATTATGTTTATTGTGTGGAATTGCCTGATGATATAACACCTGAAAGACTGCTCGAGTTTGGATCAAACTTTGAATACAGGTGAATACAAGTGTTTAAAAGAACTTGATAGCTATGAAACAAATAATTTTTATAAACGATTTTTTACAGCAATTTTCAGGAACGCAGGATAATAAGATATCTGTCAGGAGATCTGACAATTAGAATATGCTCTGGTATTTTTCATCGTATTGATACTATCAAACAAGCTGCAGCAAAATATGATTATAGTCCCTACATTGTAATAAAACCTGGTGAGTATTGATGTTGAGATATATTTTAGTTTAATTGCAATCTTACACCAAATAAAAAAGTTATAAATTTCTATTTAGAAAACATATTTCTAATTTAGAAGACATATTTACATATAAATTTTGATTTTAGATCCTCTCATTGATGAATTACCTCCAGTTACATTAGAAGAGTACGAAGCACTCAGAGAGAATGTATCGATGACGGAAACAAAGTTAATATTAAAAACAGCGTCACTGCAATTACAACTGGCAGATCATTGCGTCACGGGAGTGCCGCGACAACGTAAAATTGTCGAAGCTCGGGTAAAGTAGCTATTATATTTTTTAAATATTTTAATAATTATATAAAATTTTTAATTTTAATAATTATGTTAATTATATTTATGAATAATTTGTCTCTTTCCAGACCACTCCATTATCTCCAGCTCTTACGGATGATCCTTTTGTAAGCATTGAATGCGACGAAGCAATTGCCACTATAATTCAGCCTATGTATCCGTTCAGACTCGTGGCTTGTGCGTCAAAATTAACAGATTTACAACCGGAAATGTTTACTCAATGCCACGCAATTACTGATATACAAGTAAATCGAATATTTATATAATTATTATGAACATTTTGGTAACAGATCTTCTAATATTGGAATATTTATATAGATAACTGGAGTGAAAAGTCAACTTCATTTGACAAAAACTTGTGATACTTCAATAGTAATGCCTTTCTCAGTGGAAGCTTCTTTAAAAATATTATTATATCCTCAATATTGGCGAGACATAGATATGGTTCAAAAATCATACTCTTCTCAATCGGATAGTGTTACCATCACAGGGACTAAGGCAAAATTAATGGCTGCTGTATCTATAGCAACTTCTATTTTTAGTTCTGCAGATACAACAAATCCACTTATCTGTTCTACTCTTTTTAATGACGCCTGTCAAGAGAAAAGTATGTGAATAATGTAAATATTTTAATGTGGTTTAATGGTATATTTTTTTTTTTTTAAATACAATTATACATTTTTTTTTATTTGTTGCAGGTCCAGTGTACTTAGAGCTATACTTAGAAAATATAATGTGTAAAAATGTATCATCTTCCGTTATGATATCAAACGAAATGAATGTAAGCTCTATAAAAATATTTGCTCTCAATGATTCACAACAAGCTTTTATTTTTTCGGGTCCAGAAAATTATGACAACAAGTTCGTATATACATATATTATGTATCAATAACATGTGTACACAAGAATTTGAGAAATCTCGATTAATGAATCTTTATATTTTTAGTGACACAGAAAATGTACCACTTTTATCTAGTGTAGTGCAGTTTCCTAAAAATGTCGAACTGCATACCCATACACATCCATCACTTGTTTCGTTTAAAATTTCTGAAATCAGAGCTTCGTTAGATCCACTTTTCTTTGAATGGTTAAAGTATCGTGCCACATATCATAAATCAGGAAGCGTACATGTATTACGTTCAGATAGCCAACAATTGATCACCGAAGGTACATCGTCCGATACAGGTACTAGAAAAAAAACATTTCCAAGTCTATACGAAAGTGTGCATAGTTCGTCAGACAAAGAAAAAAAGAGATCAGCTGTGACAGAAAAGTCGAAAACACTGCGGTACGATGAAACGCAAAAGAAAACTGAATCTAAAACAGACGAAGAACAACAGGTATTAAAAATTATATTGCAAAAATACATTACATATAGATAGATAATGATTGTATCAATCATTATTAAAGATTAATCATTAAAGAGAGAAATAAGTAATTTATGGTAAATATTACAGAAATCGGGAATATTGGTCAAATTAGCAGAATCGTATTCGTGGTGGTGCAATCTTGTGCTAAATGGTTACATAGGGCATATTATCATTTACATACCATCCAATACAATGAGTGGCATTGGTGCTGATGGTAAATAATTTTATAATTATTAAGTAAAAAATAATTTAAGACAAAAGGATTGAATTCTTAGATCCATTCACAGAGTCATTCTATTCATTCTTATCTTTTTGATAAATATTAATGCATTTTATATGTATATATAATTTATAAAAATAATTAATAAAATATATTACACAAGGCATAGAACAAGCCAAAGACAGAGCCTTAATAGAGAATGAAGATTTAGAAATAATGATAATAAAACTACCAAGTCTTCTTATACACTCGTCTAATTTGAATGCCGATTCATTGAACCCATATCTACAAAATCTTCCTGTCAAACTGCCAGAATCTATGTGGGCATCTCGTAAGTTTCTTTATATAATTTAGAAAAAAACTTGCTATTTTATATATATATATATATATATATATATATGTGTGATAAAAATAAATGTTTATTACTGTTACTATTTTTTAGCAACACAAAGCTTTCCATGGACATTAAGCCTTATAGACTTTCATTGTTACACATTGCAACAGAGAACACAAAAGAATTTTATAAAGAAAGTTACATTAAACGCTACAGTAGCTCTTACAACTAAGACAGCTGCAATTCAAGCAAATACACTTACTGCTTTAAGTATTTGCGTACATATTGATAATTCTCCTATCTTTATTTCACTTTCAGAGGAACAGGTATTAATTATAAATCTCTATTTTTTTTTAATAATATTGACATAATATAACATAAAGATGTATGATTTTGAAATGAATTTTTCAGGTTGTCTTCATGAGCAATATAGTTTTAAATATCATAAAAATATTACAAACTCTATACGATTCTCGAGAAAGTAACACGATTGTACGACAGATGAGCAATGAAATGCAAATTGTTCTCCCTGCCATACCTCAAACTCCGTCCACTCCGACACAAATAATGTATCAAGAAGATACAACTACTAATTCAACCATATCTACATCAAAAGACGATTTAGGATACGGTGAATTACAAATATATTTGTCTCTTATATTTATTTTTTAATTAAATATATTTGTCTCTTATATTTATTTTATATTTGTCTCTTATATTTATTTTTGTAATTAATATATAACTTTTACAGAGAAAGACACTTTAGTTGTAACAGCATGGATTCAGTGGACTATAACAAAGGTAGCAGTTAAATTATACATTATAGAAGAAGATGGATCTTCTTTAAAATTGATGTTGGAACTGGAGGATATTATAACATCCTTAGACTTACAATCGGTCTACATGCAATTAAAAAGTAAAATAACAACAGCTACGATATTACATTATATCAGGTAAATTAATATTATTTTTATAAAATATTTTTATAGATATATACATGTATTATTTTTCTTAGCGAAGATAATTTCTTTATGATTACACTCAATGCTTTTGTTAATTTGTATTGTATTCATATTATGATTTAATAGAGGTCCACACGCATTAAATTGGGATGCTGGCGAATATGCTGGACTAGTACTTTGTGGAAGGGAAGATAATTTAGAGAAAGGTGATGATTCGGGTTTTCTAAGTTTTACACTTACTCGTGCAAAATCAGGAAATGTGTACACTCGTTGGGGTACCCATAAACGTTACAAATTACAAAAGGTAGAATATTTGCAATCTCGTTTAAATTAGAAGAAAGAATTCTCACAATTACAATTACATGTGAATTATTAATAATAATTCTCTCGAACATTTAGAAAGAAATGCTGATTGATTCGACGTTGTCTATGAACGGCTATATTTCTGAAATATTTATCAAAATGCAAATGGTCGATATAATCCTACCACTCAGTGTAATTGGTAAATACACCCAATTGGTAAAACCTTTTGCACGTCTCGGTTCTATCGAGAAAAGTGCGGAAGTCACTCGTGGTAAAAGCACGTCAACGCCATTAACTGGTATAATTACTCTGAATAATGAATCATTACCATTGATACATTTGGAGTTTAAAGGTTTTCGACTTCTGATGCCAGCCTTAAGTCATGCAAATAAATTACAACACGATTTACTGATGCTCCAGGTTTTAAAACATTTTATTTTTGAAAAACTTTTCTACTTCCCTAATGATATATTGTTTAAATTATTTTATATCGAGATTTTTTATAGTTGGACGGAATTCGTATCACGCCGGATGCGGAAAATCCAATTTGCAGAACTCCATTGCGAACTGACATATATCAATTGGCTGCGCAAGCAAATATATTAAATGTACCAGGTTCGGCCGTGGAAGATCGTCAGTATCAAATTAGTGTTAAAGGAGTGTGTGCATATACTACCACATGGAGAAATTATCAACTAAGCATTAATAAGGTTTATTAAGCAGAGACATTTTATGTTACATATATCTGCATATTTTTTATATCTTATTCGAAACTTAAAAAAACTTTCTGGAAATACATTAATATACAGATTTGATAATTATATAAACTCTATGAATATTTTCAGAGGATGTCTCAATCATACTTATATACAATGAATGAGAATCCTGCATTGGAATGGAATAAACTCGGAAATGGTAGTAGTCTCGATCCATATTTCTCTACATCTCCTGTATTAACAAAGTAATATAATTAATGCATATATATGTATAGAAATGATTAGAAATCATATATTGAGCTAATTAAATTTTCTAACTTTAATGTTTAATTTTAGATTTGATCTCTGCTTGATCATTGCACCAGCTGTCATATTTAAAAATGACACGATAGTGTGTGGAAGTGCTATAGAAGTGAATTGCATTACAGACATAGAATTGACAATAAATTTGGATCAAATTAAATTAATATCGACACTCAATAATGAATTTGTAACGCTATTGTCTGGAAGTTTTGAGAAGACAGAAGATCAAAATAGTTTCAATAATACAGTTCAAAAGTTTCCTTCAGGCTCTCAAGGCATAAAACCTATCAGTGGGTTAAAACAGACATTAGATGATTCAATAGATATCGATTATATGAAAGACAGTGGTGTTGATTTTGAAATGTCCAGTGTACATTCGACAGTAATTGTAAGTTATACGTTATATTCTAGTGCACAGAAATAACGCTTTACGAATTATCAATTTGCTCTAAAAATAATAATTTTCAGGGAAGATCTGCGGTTGCTGAAACCATGATATTTCCACCATTTGAATTTTTAGTAAATTGTGGAAAGATAACGCTTATTTTATATGAAGTTCACAATGCATTCCTTGATTTAGAGGATAATGTAGTGAGTAATAGTAATTTATAATTAATAGTTATTATCATTTTAATTATAGTATTTTATTAATTATTGATATATTTTTTTCAGGATATACATAAAATTGATTGTGAAGACGATAACGATAATTTAAAACAGCCATTATTTTATTTAATGATTAATCAACCGAATATTTACTTTTCTCAGCAACATTTATTTAAAAAATTCAAGTATGCATTTTTTAGCTTAAAAAACAACAATTAATATATTAATTGACGCTTAACTTGAATTTGTATCTCTTAATTAATATTATTGTCGGTTTATAGATATCCTGTTTTGACATAACGACATCACTTGGTGAAGCCCAAAATCTAAACATGATACCAACTGAAAAGGATTTCAAAATTTTTATGATAGAAACGAAGCACGGAGATCCACATCCAGACACGGGTATTCCACCTTCTTTTGTTACAATAAAATCAGAGATGATTCTAGGCAAAAATCGACAATTTTTTATTGAAATGGGAAGGCCGACAAAAATACATCTCTCTTTATCTCGGCTCAATCAGCTTTATAATATACGGAATAAGGTATGCCATGAAATTAAAAAATGCGTAACATCTATGCGTATATTTACGACCACTCTATTTTACGTTCGCTTCAGGTATTATCGTGTTTCATGGACCGCGACGTTACGCAAGTATCAACCAAGAAAAAAGAGGCTGCAGATTCTCAAAATTTAGTAGCACCGACAAAATCGAAAAAATTCAGTGTACCTGATCTACATTTAAGTACAAAACTAATCGTATTATCTTTAAAGACTGACACCGGAGCAGAAATTATTACAAGTTTAGCATCGTTAAACGGGAATCTGTCGACACTCGTGAGACCGGACAGGATATATTCAAACTTATCTATAGATTCCTTTATTATATCTGCGATCTTAAACGGAAATATCAAAGTATTATTAAATCCATGGTGTTGCAACATAACAACCTGCTTACTTTGGGAATCTTCGTACAACAGCGAAGTGATTCCGCAGATACAGATACAGGCAGACAGTGAAAGTCTATATCTTGATTTTGGACCTGATCAGATTAAAATTATAAAAATGGTCATGCAAGATTGCCAGTTGCTCTTAAGCGAATTTGCCTCGTTCTCTACGAGCGAGAATAAAAATGAGAAGCAAATTGTACTATCGACCGAACAACATTACAAGGATGATTTAAAGGCTGGTGCATTCCAATTTGTCGATGGCACTGCGGACGAGTTACCTTTTCCATATCAAGTTAGTAAACACGATTATACTAAATTAAATAAAAATAAAATAATGTGCCTGACTTATTCTTTTCTTATTCTATTCTTTCTTAGGTAGTATTCTTTGCTTATCCTCAGCAAGCGATGGCTTGGAGATATCCGCAACCGCGTACATTAACGAGAATACATATATCTCCTGTTCCATTTGAAGTAAGTATTGAAGAAACAATTTGTTATTTTTATTTGTAAATTAAAATAATCAGTAACAAGTTTGAAGATAAAAGGATTCGTTGCAGACGATGGACGCCGATGGCAATTATATCGACAGAATTTCCTGCATCCTCGAATATTGGAGTGACAGTCACATGTCATATCAACGTTACGCAGATTTTTACTTATCGGAAACAGATTCCTATCGATTGGATTTGCCGGAGAGGGCACCAGCACGTGCGGTGGCCTGCGTGTGGCGCGTGATTATTTCTTCCAACAACAAGCGATCGCTCTCCAGAAGCATCGTTTCCGCGCGAGCCCTCGCAGCTTGTTTGCGCATCGATTCTTACTTTAATCCTCTGTTAATACCCAACGTGCAGATCGCTTTAAATATCGGTGTGCTTCACGTGTCTCTGTACAATCATATCGATACGTCTGTGTACAGTAATCTGCCACCACCGTTGGATAGGTACATGCTGAACGGGAGGATCCCTGAGATACAATGTTTCATGTCCATGGAACAAAAAGGGGCTGTTCTGGTGCTTAACAAATGGGTGGACGATTCCACGTTAATCGATATCGGCGGTACCTTAAGCATACACGTGTTAGATTACAGTCATTTGACCATGCAAGAGGTGTTGGATTCCCTGGAAGGAAGATTACAATTGTCATTATCGGACAAGATAGACGCATCGTTAACGAGCAACCCGTTTACGCTGAAATTGGGTCCGGCGATCATTCATACTCTTACGGTCTCCACCCGACTATGGCTGGCGTCTTTCGACGAAGAGGAGAAAAATGTGATTGTCCTGACGCGTTATGTAATTGCCAACGATAGCAATGTACCTATCCGTTTTGGTCAAAGTGGCACCGGCGACAGTATACTTCTCGAAAGCAGACAGTGTAATTTTTACTCGTGGCGACAGATTGGCAATCAGATGATACGAATATCGATCGAAGAAAACGCTTGGGTGTGGAGTCGACCTTTTCCTGTCAATACAGATGGAATCCACGTGATAGAATTCAATAATTCGATGACCGGCACGGTGATTTTTGTCAATGTTACGTCACTTTCCACTACGCAGAAGCTTGTAACGTTCTCAGGGCAGCTCGTAATTTCCAATCAACTGATAGATAATTTTGAAATGAGATTGGTAAAGTACGAGACAGATGTCGGCTCTAAAGTAACGGTCTCGAAGGAGGTATACCCCATACCTGGTAAGAGTTTTCCTTCATCTATTATGCTTGAAAATAATAAAAAGATGGCTATGCGGCTGCGTTTCACCAACTTGACGCACTTATCTTGGACCGGCGACATTCCTCTGCAACCAAACGTCAAATGGGGCCAGCCCTGGCTCGTAAAAGTACCGCTTCAAGAACGCGGTCAATTTCTAAGTATCTGGGTACGGATTGTAACGCAGACGATACAGGACAAGGTGAAGATTCTCGCGGTACTGAGTCCGCTTTATATGATTAGATCGCATTTACCGGTATCAGTTAGAGTTCAGATGGAAACTCCGTCCTTGAAGACGTCGTTGAGCACGATGGTCAACGGTCGCGGCGAGTGTCAGCAACTCTACTGCCCTGGTACGTTTGAGCACTTTCATCAGCTGACGTTTCAACTAGAATCCGGTGTCTGTGCATCGAATCCCTATGTGCCGCTCTCGTACAGCTCGGTGAATCAGCGAAAGTTCTTGAGAAGACCCGACGTCGAGGATATCGACAAAATTCTGCGAGATCTCAAAGACCGAAAGGACGACGCGAAATGGCCTTTTCAAGGAGACGACACAGGGGAGGAATGGATATCTGCAGAGCAGCCGCAGACGCACGTACAGGTGAAATACCAAGATGCAGGACTGGTCTCTAGTACCTTGTTGTTGGAACTACAGCCTTGGTGCTTCGTAATGAATTCACTAGGTTGTCATATCTCGCTAGTGTCGGAGGATACAGAGCTGTGCCAGATTCCTCACTACAGCATAGTTACACCACCCAAGTTGGAAGGCACTTTTTACGTAGGCGTGGGAATCGGCGATACTTACTACACGTCACAGACACTGCAGTTGGCGCGACCCGACTGGAGCCAAAGCTTCTACATGCCGCGAATCAACGGCATAATACCGGTGAACGGAAACATCAAGACGTTTGTGGACTGCGGCACAAGCGTGTCCATCTTGAACATCGGTTCCTCCATGCACGAGGATATGCGTCTCGTGCGAATCTCGAGCAGCCACGTGATCGCTAATCTGACATCTCAAGAATTGTGCGTGGCCACGTTTGCGGTGCACGAGGAAGCGAGAGATCTGCAGCTGCCGCACGATCTCACCCCTTGTAGCCTGAATATCTCGCCGTCTGAGGATCAACAACAGGGTACACCAATCGTACAATGGTACACGCTGTACACGGAGAGCAATGTGAACCGCTCGTATTGTATGTATCTCTCAGCCTCGGTCACAAATGGTCCTGTCCGATTAGAGTGGACCAAACGATGAGCCGGAAATCCGTTGCAATTCCAAACGGTTCCTCGACCTTGCCTGTTATTGTGACAACGCAAGAAGATAAAGGTACCACGTTCGTCGTGATACATAACGACGATCATCCACAATTGTTGGTCGAGAACGCTTGCGACTTCAAGATCCTGCTGGGACAAGCTGATGAAAAAGGAAACGAAATATTACCGGATACTGTCCATTTTACATGGATGTGCGAAGTTGATAGCGGAGCAATATTTCATTATTCCCTTCCCTGCGTCAGTAACAGACTACCTGACACTGTTGTTCCAAGCACGTCAAACGTGCTGTTATTTTCTACCGTACAAAACGATCAGGTGATAGAAAAAACAAGTTTAAAATGGTCGAGAGGCGTGAATCTGTCCGCATTATCGTCTACACCGATGGATCAATATCTGCGATTGCCCTCCTACGGCGACGTGAAGCTAATAATGCAGAATCGTTGTTATACAACTCACATCAGCATCGTGCCTATCTCTCAGATCGAAATATCCGCTCAAGATATTAGAAGCAGATTACTACGGAAGAAGAGCACGTCAAAGGATCACGATACAATCGCGCCCTTGAAAAGATCAGAAGAGGATAAACTGTTGCCGTATATACAAAGTTCAAGTAGTTCAACATCGCTGACGAGTTTCTTCTCTGCTCAAGAAGACGTCTTACCGATGGAATCGAATGTTTCATCGTCGTCGAAGCAGTTAATTCCGAAAATGACGGAGAAAACTCACCCTGATGAAAATCAATCCAAGTCCTCCAGCAATGTCATTTCGACAAATCCTAGAGAAGGCTCTGTAACGGTTTACCTGCATGCGTGTACCATCGTCATTCTTCATGACATCAATGAAAATGCCCAGAAAATCGAAGTCGCGAGTCTGTCCATGACGGATTTAGTTGTCACTGTAAATTCAAAGGCCAAATTTATTAATCTAAATTGCTACATAGGTGACTTGCAATTGGATAATCAATTATTCGATCAGGGAGGTTTCGACTTTCCTGTAGTATTGATAAATCAGAATCCATTGCCCAATAGGGAGATGATATTTTACAGCAATAATTGTTTACTGACGAATATAGAGAAAATTAAACAAGATTCTTTAATAACTGTCGAGTACGTCTGGGAAGTAAACGGATGTATGATAGGTATGTATTTTACATGAAACAAATATTTATCTAGAAAATAAATATATAATAAATAATGTTTTAAGTAGATAAATGTTTAGTTCACTTGGATATATTTTTGTTGCAGCATCAAAGGAATATCGCATGAGAATTGCACCAATTAGCGCATATATCGAGGACACGTATATAACGCAATTGTTGGATTACGCAACTACGATGATACCGCCGCGTTTGGTATTAAATGACAGTCCTAAGAGGATACAAACGATAGCTATTGCGAACGCAATGTACATACCGGACTACATCATGATCGACTCGAAAATCTTGAGCAAGCCGTTGAGATTGCAAAATTTTATAATAGAGCCGCTGTCTATTTTGTTGAGCGTCCACACCTCTGTACGATTATACGTCGCTCTGGATCATTCCCCGTTGTACTTCGGTACTTTCGAAAGGAAGAATCTGCTGACCACCCCTTACAGGCTTGGCAATGCACTTACTATGCATTACTTGTCCGGCGCTATATTCGGAGCAGGTTGGCGATACATGCAAATTATTCTTATTTTTTTTTATATATATAGTAACGAAATTATGCTTGTTTTATGTGATCAGGTTGGGTAGTGGGATCATTAGAAATACTCGGATCACCGGGAGGTTTGGCGCAAGCACTTGGATCCGGGCTCAGAGACTTCGTTTCGCTACCGTTTCAAGGACTTTTGCAAGGTCCATGGGGTTTCATCGTTGGAATCACACACGGGTCAGCCAGTTTAATGAAACACGTTACAGCAGGTGTAGAAATTATTTTTTTTCTCATTATTCTGATTACTTAAAAATATATAATAAGAAAATATATAACTGCATAGTGTTCCCTCTCGTAGGTACGGTAAATTCCGTAACGAAACTGGCATCCAGCGTCGCAAGAAACTTGGATCGTTTAACGTTAGATGAGGAACATCTTCAGCGACAAGAAGAGTCGCGCAGAATGCGTCCTCAAGGCATGGCGCAAGGACTTTATCAGGGTTTAACTGGTCTCGGAATGAGTTTACTCGGTAATCATTCCTTTCTTTTTTGTTCTTAAATTTCTTCGTCGTGTATAATTACTAACTGTTAATTACTAATCAGCGGCCGTGGCTGGCTTGGCGCATCATCCTCTGCAGCAAGTGTGGTCAGGCGAGGCAACCACCAAGAGTTTAGTCACCGGAGTCGGACTCGGTTTAGTCGGCGTCGTAACTAAACCACTGAGCGGTGCTGCGGAATTGGTCGCTCTTACTGGTCAAGGATTATTACAGGGAGCTGGATGGAATTCCTTGCCTACGGTAAAATAATAAAAATTTAAATATAAATTTAACATATATAAGATAGGCAATAAGAGCCAAATCGCGGATGACAGTGCGTTATTCTAAACGAAACTAAATTTTTTCGTTAGAATTAAATACCTGTGCACAAGGCACCAAATTTTTACTTGGACACGGCCAAGATATAAAATTGGAATAATCTCTACAAGAGATTTTTAATTCCATGTATCCCCTATTCCCCCTAAAGAAATAAAGTGCGAGAGAAAAATATAGATCCGAAAGTCGCAGAATCGGGAATCGAACCCGAGACCTTTCGCTTGCCGGGCGACTGCTCTTCCAACTGAGCTATTCAGATCCTTTCGATTCTATACTTTTCTCTGTTATATATATTAATGTTGGTAAATAAACGCCTTTAAGCCAGCGTGTATAAATTAAGAGTTTAACTAGGCTCTGTAATATATAAATATAAATTTAACATATATAAGATAGGCAATAAGAGCCAAATCGCGGATGACAGTGCGTTATTCTAAACGAAACTAAATTTTTTCGTTAGAATTAAATACCTGTGCACAAGGCACCAAATTTTTACTTGGACACGGCCAAGATATAAAATTGGAATAATCTCTACAAGAGATTTTTAATTCCATGTATCCCCTATTCCCCCTAAAGAAATAAAGTGCGAGAGAAAAATATAGATCCGAAAGTCGCAGAATCGGGAATCGAACCCGAGACCTTTCGCTTGCCGGGCGACTGCTCTTCCAACTGAGCTATTCAGATCCTTTCGATTCTATACTTTTCTCTGTTATATATATTAATGTTGGTAAATAAACGCCTTTAAGCCAGCGTGTATAAATTAAGAGTTTAACTAGGCTCTGTAATATATAAATATAAATTAACATATATAAGATAGGCAATAAGAGCCAAATCGCGGATGACAGTGCGTTATTCTAAACGAAACTAAATTTTTTCGTTAGAATTAAATACCTGTGCACAAGGCACCAAATTTTTACTTGGACACGGCCAAGATATAAAATTGGAATAATCTCTACAAGAGATTTTAATTCCATGTATCCCCTATTCCCCCTAAAGAATTTATTTCTTTAGGGGGAATAGGGGATACATGGAATTAAAAATCTCTTGTAGAGATTATTCCAATTTTATATCTTGGCCGTGTCCAAGTAAAAATTTGGTGCCTTGTGCACAGGTATTAATTCTAACGAAAAAATTTAGTTTCGTTTAGAATAACGCACTGTCATCCGCGATTTGGCTCTTATTGCCTATCTTATATATGTTAAATTTATATTTATATATTACAGAGCCTAGTTAAACTCTTAATAAAAATTTGTTTTTTTGCGATTTGTCAACTCAATCTGATTTTTGTTCGTTTTTCTAACAGCCACGTCAGAGACCAATCGTGCAATATACTACTGGCAATAATAGCACATCCGTGCGATACACCTGGCGTTTGTCACCCTTGCTCGATCATAGCCACGACAGTATTCTTCACGTGACCAGTGCAGATTACGTCATTCACCAGGGTAGCAATCGCCCGATGACACTCGTCCTCACGCGACAAGCTCTATTACTCGTTAACATGGCAGAGGACAGCGTAGAACGAATATTCTCGTTGAGAGAATTGACGAGCGTTGATCATGTCACGGAATCGACCATGTTATGCTTGTATTGTCCACCAGCCGCGACGCAGTCGAGCAGACCTCTATCGCCAGTCGAACACGAGGTAAAATGATCCTGATTTTATGCCTTAGCTTATAATCAAGTCATGAGGACTAATGTAAACGTAAACTTTTTAAGATGAATCAAGAAATGAGAGCGCGAGTTGAAGAATACGTGAGGACAAGCAGCACTGGCTTGGCCAGTGTATCAACCAATAGTGACAGACAGTCTGACACCTTGGAGAAAACGTCTTCACATCCAGAACATACACTTACTTTTTACGTTTGTCCAGACACTCGTAATTACTTACTATCATTGTTCAACATTGCCAAGCGACAAAATCAGGGTTCTGGTTTCGCTGTTTTGTAATGAATGTAATACTTTCAAACATTATTTATTATTAACTGCAGTGACTGAGAGAGAAAATATTCCAAATAATTCTGTATGAATCAAATGTATTCAAAATGTTTTCTTTGGGTATTGAAACTTAAATTTTATATGTACTTTTGGGAAATTTGTTTCGAGAAGTTATTAAAGTGATAATAGTATTATAACGAGAAAGAAATTTTCAAATACCCAAGTAAACAATTAATATTCCATTTGAATAACCATATTTATAATTTTTATTAAATATATATTGCATAATTGACGCTTTATATATCGTTTTACATACAAAATGTTTATTACGACTATATAGCATAAATTTATTATCGATATATTATATAAAGATTTAAAATATTTTACAATTGTAAAAAATATTTAAAATAACGCGTTGCTTATTAACTCATACGAAAACGTACAAATTAAAGAAAAGCACATGTATAAACTTTATTTATAAGTTATAATATATCATATATTGAGATAGAAAAACAAATTTTTATAAACATTATTTACACACATGTAATTTCGACTTTACATAAATGTAAACTATATTGTATGTGCCAAAATGTTGCGAGGAATTTTATCATTGGAATTATCATGAATGATGTAACATTGATCTCGAATGGTTCAATGTGTTACGATAATATATTTTGCATACCCTCCTCACACACATGGATAAAATTTGACAAATAATAAATGTGAAAAAATTCGAGTTACATCCATAAAGCTGAAGAATTGAGCAAGAACTGAAATATTCTATTATTGATAATATATATTCATAACATTATACAATTTTTCTATTATCTATTTAAAATATCGTCATGAATTCGTTCAATGTCACTCAGTTTGTAAGAAAGTCCACAAGATTTACACTGACTATTCTCAATAGATAATAATACTTTTCTGCATATTACATGTTTACATGGAAGTTTATAAAGAATACTATTATTACAACATTTACAATCATTAGATATATTATGTAACTCTACTTTTTCTGGTGCACTAAAACGTTTAATATTTGACAATAGAATCTTTACATTGCCATCTAGAGAATTGTCAATGTCAGTTTCCACCAATCTTTCTGATTTATCACTTCTATGATTATAAGAATTATTATGAACTAGTTTAGAAGAACTTGAACTTTGCTTTGATCTTACATTAGTATTGGCAGTGGATTGTTTGGGACATACAATAACTGCTGGCAGTTGATGGCAAAATTTCTTTGTTTGCTGTGAATAAGCATTCATTGTTTGCTTGCATGCATCTAATTTAGCATCTTTGACAGTCCTCTTTAGTAAATTTTTGTTTAGCACACACTTTGATACTTTAATTATCCTTCTGTCTCCTGCTACAGTTGAAGTTGAATTATGGCCTAAAACTCTTGGTATATTTTTTATTTCATTCGAATTACTATTATCCAACAGAAATTTATCAATTCTCGACTTCAATGCAGTTGCCATAATTGGTTTACGATGTTCATTAAATACAATGCCAGTAAATGGATCTGATAATGGTCTACCCCAGATTGCTTCATTCTGTCCATGCTTTTCTAATGTGGTTTGATCTATTACTTTGCCACTAGGTAATATAATCGGCTGAGTCATTATCTCCCATGTAATGGGATCTAAGAAACTTTCAGGAACTTCAAACATCACTTTATTCTCTTGTCTGGAATGCATGAAAAATATCTGTATTAGTTAACAACAGATATGTAATGTACTAATATTATATATAAATATATGCATACCTATTGTCAGTAATATTTGTAGTAGTCTCAGTTTTAGTCTCGCTTACAGGCAATGTGGCTTGATGTTTGGTCCATAAAGTGTACACACTTGCCACAACATCTTTCCCACAACGAGGTGATACTGTTCCCCAAACTTCAATTTTCCCTAATGCTGGTACCGAGTTTTCTGTTTTACATATTGTTATTCGTAAAACATTAGTATACATAGTCAAGTGCTGCATTGACAATTTAATATAACGTTTTAAGAAATTTGGTGGTGCAAGAATTTTTGCAGGATCAATGTCACTCGGATGAAATAACAGTCCAGCATCAGAAGTGCTTAAAAATCCACTAGACAATAAAGTAAATGGGCTACTGTGATCATTGGTGTTTTTAGAATAAAGCTGAAAGCCCGATGACTTCTGTGATCCAATGGATGGCCAAATCAATATATGATTTATCCTGATGTTACAAAGAAATGTGATGTCAATGTGAATTGGCGGTTTAATGCAGGAATATGCCAAAAATCCTTTGCAAGAGTCGCTTATCAAATTGGTCACATCATATCCTTCTGTGCTGATGGTACTGCATTTGATTTCTGGACGTAAGCGAGGATCACAAAAATTCAAAAGCATTTTCCTTTTTTTTCTTTTTACATACAAAGGTCGTCAATAATATATGATCTTAAATCACATGCTTTATACGTGATCCAGTGATTGTCACGAAGATTTAATCATTCTAATCATCGTGCATTCGTAATTTCAATTACTATAATTTTTAAACAAGCTTAATTTATAAAATTTTTCATGTGTAATAAGAATAAAAGTATACACATATAACCGAATATTAATCTTTAAACTGATTTTAGCTTTATTGTTAGATGCCACTCAGATGTCATTTATTTTTTTTTTCAAATATCCATTTCTATACTTTTTTTCAATCTTTTCTTCTCTCCAAAACTTTATTTCATGTTAAATACAGAAAATCTAATTATGGTACAGAACATCTTTCTACTCCAATATAAATGGCCAATATTTACTCACGATGTAAATATCATCGTGCATTTGACATTTCTATTCTTAATTAATTCGCACATATTCATTCATAAATACATAACACATGACAGCATTCTAGATTATGTTCGGATATATGTTCACCTACTATTGAACAATCAGAACAAAGAAAATCCTCGGTCTCCGATTGGTCAGTCAAATATCGCACTTTGATCAACGACCAATCGGAGACCGAAGATCTCTTTGTCCTGATTGGTCAGTCGAGCGCTTTACCCTGGGTGAATACATTTTCGAATACAATCTAGAATGCTGCTGCCAGAGAGAAAGATGAGAGCGGCCAGGCCGGCGTTTTGGCTGTTACCGTTTTTACGGGACTGCTTGAAGCGCCCCTCGCACCCGTTTTTAATATCGGAACTAACTGCACACCCATTTTCTGGCAGGGTCGATAAAGTTTGTATTTGGTGCGAGTCCGTGCTACGCCCATAATTTTCGTGTTAACACAGTATCACGTATTCATTCTGTATATGTGCGATCTTTTCTCTTTATTTATATATATATATATATATATATATATGTATTTATATAATTTGTATAAAAACTAAAATATAATTATTAAAATATATATATATATGTATATGTGTAATGAAATATATAAATCTTATTTTAATTAAAATAAAAAGAACGATTAATTGTTCGACCACCTGGATTTTGGAATGTAATTTTTAATATATATTATATTATATTTAATATTTATCGCCGCTTCTATTAATATGAAGTGCAATGTCAACGTGCAATAATGTACAATTATTTAAAGTTTCCATGCCTAATGTATCATGCCGGTATAAAAGAACGTCAAGTAGCATGCGTAGCCGAGCAACTAAGATGACGAGCTGAAATCGTGGACATTTCAAGTTCAAACCCCTGCCTTTTTCAGATTTTTTTTTCACTTTTTTCAAATAAGTTATTATGTGTATAAATGTGTAATAATCAATATATCATTATTTGATAATTTTTTTGTAATGGAACAAAATAAATTATTTTTTAATTCTGCAAGGAATTTAATTATTAATGCAAACGCCCACACACATAATTTAGATATTCAATTTTTTTTAGTTCAAATGTTTCTTGCAATCTGTATACGACAATCAGTCCACTCGCTGTGCCACAGATTGCATCGCATAATACGCTCAGAGTTATAATACGATAGAGATCGCTTTACGCTGTTTTTCCTTGAAATAAATAAATTTTACGTGTTGTGTACGCGTGTTTAGTATATTTGTTTTTTCATATTAATTTTAACTATAATTAGTTTTTTAATTAAGATTATTTTAGTGTTAGTTGTTTATTTGTTAGTGTCCTGTTTTCTTTAATTTCGCATTTTTTAATTTTCTTTTTTTTTGGTGTTGGTGCTAATTATTATTTTTATTTTACAATGTCGAGTAAACACCGGTTTTACGATAAATGTGTGTATTTAAATTGCACAAATATTAGGACAAAAGATGGAAAACGTTTATTTCGATTTCCATTACAAACGGGTGCGAGACATGATTTATGGTTACGCAATAGTGGTGAGTTTATAAAATTGATTTACTTATTTATATCAATATATAATATATATTGATATGATATATGAAACAAATATATATATATATTTCTTTGTTTTTTTAATAAAATATGTCAGATATTATGTATGTTTACGTATGGATTACGTTGAAGTGTTTCTTTGCCGCGTTTTTCTGATCTCGCCGAACGGTTCGCGAATCCTGTGCGAATAAAAAACGATGCGCGTGTGTGTGTGCGTGCGATTGTGATGATCAGTTTCAGTTCGTCTTCAACGCTTGACGAGAGAAGAGGTCCCGAACTGCTGTAAGTTTATAAAAACATATTTTTGTATAACACATTAGAACGATTTTATATTATTTTTGAAGCGTTGAAGACGAACTGAAACTGATCATCACAATCGCACGCACACACACACGCGCATCGTTTTTTATTCGCACAGGATTCGCGAACCGTTCGGCGAGATCAGAAAAACGCGGCAAAGAAACACTTCAACGTAATCCATACGTAAACATACATAATATCTGACATATTTTATTTAAAAAAACAAAGAATATATATATATATTTGTTTCATATATCATATCAATATATATTATATATTGATATAAATAAGTAAATCAATTTTATAAACTCACCACTATTGCGTAACCATAAATCATGTCTCGCACCCGTTTGTAATGGAAATCGAAATAAACGTTTTCCATCTTTTGTCCTAATATTTGTGCAATTTAAATACACACATTTATCGTAAAACCGGTGTTTACTCGACATTGTAAAATAAAAATAATAATTAGCACCAACACCAAAAAAAAAAGAAAATTAAAAAATGCGAAATTAAAGAAAACAGGACACTAACAAATAAACAACTAACACTAAAATAATCTTAATTAAAAAACTAATTATAGTTAAAATTAATATGAAAGAAACAAATATACTAAACACGCGTACACAACACGTAAAATTTATTTATTTCAAGGAAAAACAGCGTAAAGCGATCTCTATCGTATTATAACTCTGAGCGTATTATGCGATGCAATCTGTGGCACAGCGAGTGGACTGATTGTCGTATACAGATTGCAAGAAACATTTGAACTAAAAAAAATTGAATATCTAAATTATGTGTGTGGGCGTTTGCATTAATAATTAAATTCCTTGCAGAATTAAAAAATAATTTATTTTGTTCCATTACAAAAAAAATTATCAAATAATGATATATTGATTATTACACATTTATACACATAATAACTTATTTGAAAAAAGTGAAAAAAAAATCTGAAAAAGGCAGGGGTTTGAACTTGAAATGTCCACGATTTCAGCTCGTCATCTTAGTTGCTCGGCTACGCATGCTACTTGACGTTCTTTTATACCGGCATGATACATTAGGCATGGAAACTTTAAATAATTGTACATTATTGCACGTTGACATTGCACTTCATATTAATAGAAGCGGCGATAAATATTAAATATAATATAATATATATTAAAAATTACATTCCAAAATCCAGGTGGTCGAACAATTAATCGTTCTTTTTATTTTAATTAAAATAAGATTTATATATTTCATTACACATATACATATATATATATATTTTAATAATTATATTTTAGTTTTTATACAAATTATATAAATACATATATATATATATATATATATATAAATAAAGAGAAAAGATCGCACATATACAGAATGAATACGTGATACTGTGTTAACACGAAAATTATGGGCGTAGCACGGACTCGCACCAAATACAAACTTTATCGACCCTGCCAGAAAATGGGTGTGCAGTTAGTTCCGATATTAAAAACGGGTGCGAGGGGCGCTTCAAGCAGTCCCGTAAAAACGGTAACAGCCAAAACGCCGGCCTGGCCGCTCTCATCTTTCTCTCTGCTGCTGCCTGCTGCCCTCTAGTATACTTTCGCATTGTTTATGATTAACATTTGCGCGTTCGTCCACGAAAGAACGAGTGCGGGTATTAATTAGTGCCTACGTGTTAATTACTGCATAAATCTGATCGCGTCGCGTGTTCTGGGTATTTATTACGGTTCTTTGGGTGAGTTTGTTCACGAGGTAAAAATCACAAAAGTGAGAGATTCACTAGGTTGTCTACGCTTCTATTGGTCAAAATCTAGTGAATCTCTCATTTTTGTGATTTTTATCTCGTGAGCAAACTTACCCAAATAACCGTAATAGGTACCCTGATATCGTAATCGCAATCGTACGCGTGAGATTGATCTCGTCATCCGCGAATCTCGCTCAGGGTACCTATTACGGTTATTTGGGTGAGTTTGCTCACGAGATAAAAATCACAAAAATGGGAGATTCACTAGATTTTGACCAATAGAAGCGTAGACAACCTAGTGAATCTCTCACTTTTGTGATTTTTACCTCGTGAACAAACTCACCCAAAGAACCGTAATAAGTACCCAGCATTCGTTTGTGCGAAATCGCGTGTTTTCACTCCGGCTCGAGCCGCCAAAAGTTTGCGCGCGCGAATTTTCGAGACTACGTGTGTCGCGAGAAGTATCGGCATGCATTTTCGACGCGAATTTCCGACATTGTCGATTGTATTCTGAATGCGTTTCCGATTGTACTTTTGAAATAAGCTTTTTTTTCGCGAAGAGTCGGATTCTTGGAAGTCACTCGAGGAATTTATTCTCGCAATCGCGTCGAATCCTGCTGGACAATTTTCGTACGTGTAATAGCTCATTCGGGAATATCGGCGACTCCTAGTGCGTCGCGGGAAAGTCGCCATCGTCGTTCGATAAGGCCCTTCGATAAGTGGGCCTTGAAAAAAGCTACAACGCGAAAGCATTATTGATATTATTCGTACGCGAATGAGCTCTCGCGTTTCTCGCGTTTTATCAAAACGCGTCGAATAAATTGTGATAAATTAAAATTCGGGCGTTGCCACGCGTTACAAGTGCAAGTGTTTCGAAGCTTCTACGAGGAGGAGGCCCAGGGTGGCATCGGGCAACGTCAGAGCAACTATATATGGTAAATATATTATTTATATTATTTAATATTATTACTATATTATTATTATTTTATTATACTATTATTTTGTAATATATATATATTATGTAATAATTTGATTTTTCGATATAATCAATTTTATTTTAAATTTTACTATATAATTTTCATGTATTTATATTTTACAGTTTACAACTCCGCTGCGCATCGTATCGGTGAGTCTCATCAAATTTTTATAAATTTTGGATAATAATTTTGTGAAAATCCTCTCCAATTTTGCCGTAACTTTACAATATATTGTGTATTTTTGTGCGTAAAACATGAATTTGTAAATTAAAACCGCCTTCCTCCTACTGTAACTTTTTTCTTACTTATTACAAGAGTGACAATTTTAATTTACAGATTCATGTTATACGCACAAAAATACACAATATTATAAAGTTTTGGCAAAATCAAAGAGGACGGAATAAGTCTCAATATTACCATGAGAATAAAAATAAAAATATGAGATTATAAAGAGATCTGTATGATGAGGTTTAAAGTGCAATGATATAACATACATATACCACATTTCTATTGCTTTTACATTTAATTTATATTTTATATTATATATATTTTTCTA